ATACTGAGACACGCACCACTGGACCTGAGGTTGCTCCTCTCGATGCTCCTCAGTATACGGATGTCCATCCTCTCGAGGACATCTTTACTCCTACCAGTGACACTCCTTTCGATGTCACTAAAGGCCCCTCAGGTATTCCATCTTCCTACCCCTTCATTTCTTCTAACCTTGAGCCTTCAGCTCACACTTCTTCTTTTACATGTCCTTCTTTGATGCATCAGCCTAATGTTCAAGAAGTGGAAGAGGGATAAAGAGAGAAAGATGATGGAGGAGATGAAGATGTCGATGATGATTATGATATGTCATCAGATATCAAACTTCTCCTTCCAGCCGTTGATAACGTCCTCTCCAGGGTCAATGAAGTTCACCAAGAGATGCCCCGCCAAGGCGATCTTGATGCGAACTTCCTTGCACTCCAGGCGGATGTTCAAAAAATTCAGAGTCAACTCCAGACTCTCCAAGAATCTGTTCACACAAACAACGATGCCATTGCTATTCTTCATAGCAGGACTGACGATGCTCAGGCGATAGCTGATCAGCAGACTGGTCTTCTTCAACAAATCCTGGATGTTGTCCGTCAACCAGCTCCAGTGATTGCACCTTCCTTCTCTACCGATGATCGCCCCCAGCTCCATGAGACGCGTGAGGCAACGACAACTCTAGCCAATGCTTTGCAAAGGCTGGAGGAATCCATGGTTCTCCAGCGTCAGCGCTTGGACGAACTCTCTGCCAATTCTCTCGAGTCTTAGCCAGAGAGGGGGAGATGAGGTCCAATGCAGGTGAATCATCTGATGTTGCTCCTACAGCTTCCCAGGATGTTGGTCAAGTATCAGCTTCAGTTGCAGTTGAAGCTGAGGCTCTTGAAGCTGAAGCAGTTGCTGCTCCTGTAATCACGTCCACCGAAGCTGCTCTAGCTGAGGTTGACGWAGCCATCCCTAGGGATGATGTCCATACCAWYACTKYTGCTGGTGATGATGATGATGTTGATGATGATGAAGAAGATGATGATGAAGACGATGATGAACCTGTCATTCCAGACACCGGAGATGATCTAGATGGTGACGATGACGATGATGAGGAAGATGACTTTACCATCAAGTTCCAGAAGCCATCAACCGTCACCAAAGGTGTTGATCTTGGGGACTCTGCATCCCAGGGGGAGCAAAGGCAAGGTGAATCGACTCCATCAGGGAACCAGGACCCCAAGTCGAAAGGCAAGGCGGTCGCTGAAGAAGGTAACTTGAAGGAACTTTTCAAAAGCCCTCAACAAACCTTGTTTAAAGACTCTACCTCTCAGGTAGTGATTACTTCAGAATATCAATTTCATATCCCATCAACAACCTGCGGTCGACTGGAGCGGGAATCTGATCAACCCATCTCTTATGCTTCAACAGACCAGCAAATGTCTCAGCTGAAGGAGTCACTCGACCAGACTAGAGTAAAAATTCCTCTTCGTACCTCTAGTGGTAGTGAGTTTGACTTCTTATCTGAAGCTGAAAGACTCGAGGCATTAAGGGCTGAAGAAGAGCTAGAGCTTCAAAAGAAGCAGACTGAAGACAGCTTAAACCTGACCAAGTCACTAGCTGCTAAAGTCCTTCCCAAGAAGAAGTCCAAGAAAACGGTGAATCTTGTACAATCCCAAGCTAGACTTCTTTCGATTGCTGAAGCTGAATGCAAGAAGAAGCTAAAGCTGGAGGATAAGGATAAGCAATGGAGCGAAGCAAAACTGAAAAAGAGACTCAGT